ATAAAGATTTGTTTCTGTTCTTACGCTTTCACTATCCTCAATTCATCTTCTAATTGTCAGAAACACAGCAAACACTAAAGAAGATCGTGGATCGAAGATGAAGTGTATAACACGATTGTGGGATCTAATTATTCCTTCAGAGCTCCTCATGGTGTGAAGTAGCTGTTCCTGTCCGGAAGTTACAGCCTCGTCCTTGGCTTTTTTATACACCAGACGAAAGCCCTTCTATACATTCACCCTACAGTCTTCTTGACCCATTACGAGGTCAAACATATGAACAGAGATTTCCAGAGTTAATGCACCATATAATCTCTTATTCAAGGGATGGTTGGTAGCTTATAAGACTTTATGACCAGTCCACATTCTATCTTAACCCGTTTACCCGGGAGCGCATCAACTTACCCTGTGTCGACATCTCAGGCTGTTGCCTTCGCTTTCTCAGGCGCTCCTACGTCAAGTAGTTGTTTTTTGATCTCACTCTCCCAACTATGTTCCAACTCAATTCTAGTGATTGATACTTGGCGGCCTGGTCAAACCGTATGGACCACCCATCGCTTTGAGAACCAGTAGTTACCCGAGCACCTATGGACCCAATGTGTCTTCTCCGATGGTATGTTCTTTTGGCTCAGTGCCTGCAGATACCTCGGGGTGTTCGTTCCGTCTAGAGCAACCTGGAATATTATTCCAGTGAAATCCTGTCCGGCAGATTTCGCTAGGCCAGTGTTGATGACAGAACATGAAGGAGACATCTTTGTTATGTATACATTAGGCATAAGGTACCAGCCAGTGTTTAAACTTAATCTTGAACGAAAAATATGGGAAGAGAAGAGAGAACTTGGTGGCTTGACAGTATTTGCAAGTTATCCTACCTCTCTTACAAGAGCTGGTCTCTCGGCTGAGGAGAAAAGCATGATAAATGAGCGATTTGGCTCAAACTACTTCCTCGCCAATGACAAAAGCTTCATTCGTCCCCGTTGGGGTGCAGGTTGGTCTCGCAGGATTGCTTGGGTGGATCCACCTCAGAATGTTAATTTGTGACTTCATCAGAACCAATAATAGTTATCAATGGTTAAAGATTTAAAATTCAACTACTGTATTTAGATTTCTCATGGGCATAAAAATGATAATCTACTACAAACACTTGACTTTCGTTGGATTCGTACACCAAGTGAACAAGTGTTTGCATTAAATTTGTTCTAGCATTATAAGAAGAGACAACAAAGTGGTAAACATTAAAAAAAACCATCCAAAAAGCTTCCTTCTGGTGGGACTTCTTATTATAAACCAAAGTTCTCATGATCTCTTCACATTGCCAATGGTATATTGAGTGACTACTTGTGAGGTGAATTAATCTCTTGTTATCAGGTTCTGGCTCTAAGGAAGCTTAAGTCCACATTGTTTATGCAAGAGTTTGTGGCATACAAAGAAAATAGTTTGGAATGTAATTTATTTGGAAATCACTTCTCAGGCGCATGATTCATATGCAAATTTGTAGATTCCTTTTGTAAACTTATTTCTTCCGATATAAGATCATATACAAATCCGTAAATCTTTAAACTTTTACTCTTCCCCTCCAAACAAAGATGGATTCAGACAGTAGTAAATCATCACTTCTTGTGTATGCTAAAATCTGAGGATATAAAAAACAAATCATAAGTTTAGTACAGTTACGAGACATAAAGCAGTTGATAAATTCCTCATTTGATATTTGACATACAAATATACCTATTAATTTTTTTTTTATATG